CGATAGCGCGATAACGCGGCCGATGGAGCCACACCAGGAGAGCATGATACACGGGCGACGAAACAACACGACTACGTTGAAGCACCAAAACACGGCTAGAGTTCCAGCCATGGAAGGGCAACGACCACGAAATACTATGTATCACGAAACCTGTGCAACCCACGTGAGCGTTTGATAACAGGGATTAGTTAGCAGCCACAAAAGAGGTCGTATTAAAGGGCATCAATCCAAAAGAGAGAGCGCATAACCACTAAGTAGCGTGGACCACGGGTGAGCAGGACACCACGATGCCAGGAACAGCACGGAAGAGCACAAGTCACTGAAGAACATGACATCCAACCTGTAGAACGGGGGTAACGGTAGCGTACTAAACCACGATATTGTACGGGGTCGCATGAGACTACGGAATGGTAAGTGGTTTAAGCACACGACATCACGATGTACTGGAGTGGACGAATTCACACGCAACCTGGAAGTACATGATCCTAAGCAAAAGCACGCGACACACCGAAGCACTAAAGGTGCGGCCACCTCACCTCCAACAAACCATGCCTCTCCGGCGGCCGGCTAGTTTATAAAATGAATGTCCGTCTGTCTGTCTGTCACGCATTTCCGACTCTTTGATTGGCTGAAAGATATAATATAGCAGTAAATATGAGACATTGAATGGAAGGTTTTCTTATTTAGAATATGATAAATTAATTAGAACCTTGTGACCTCTCAGCTTGTACAGCCTGCATAATCATCGATAGAGGGACCAAGACGGCCAGCAACCCAATTAGACAGAGTACATCAAGGATGAGAGCTTTGGGCTGCGCTTGCAGGCCGTGGGGAATGGAAGGAGAAAGGGTTGCAGCTCTGAGTTTCCTTCTCAAAAACGGCGCTCAGCGATTGACGTGCCATCAAGCGCTCGTGTTGGGGCTGCTTGCCTGGACGGTCAGCGTTAAGAAGAGTTCTACACTTTTAACGGCGTCCGGTGCGGGGCGCTCGTGGCTATAGCCAATGCACTACATGTAATGTAATGTACGTGGTGCATGTGCAGTACTTTAAGTACTGTAGAAGACAAGATACTGTTATCGAGGCGACCATCGAACAAGATATATTCATCATTTTGCTTTACACTAAATCCGTATTGGTCTGGAATAATTTTGGGGATTTCTAATTTTTAAAAAATATATATTTTTAAATAAGGGACACTCCGTTTTGGTTTACACTTTGGATTGGCAAAGGTGTAGATATTAGCTGAATATTGTTTTTAATGAGAACATTCCAGATATTAATTTGTTTCCAGAACAAAACGTTTTCTTATTAAAAAGAGGAATGAAAGTTCTGGAAATAACACCTATTGTAGGGGCAAACGAAGTAATGCAGATAGTATCCTATTTATAAAGAGAGACATACTGAAGCAGATTAGCTAATTGAGAGACTGGGTGCTTCCAAATACTGCATGTTTTTTAAGTGAACAGTATTGTCAGTGCAATACAAAATAATACTACCTCCGCTCGGAAAAAGATAACCATTTGTTTTTTTTGCGCAGCGCTCCGCCTCGTTCATTTGAGCGTTAATTAATTTGTGAGAGGCTGGCTAACTAGCTTTATGACCGAGAGCTGACAGTGAGAAACTAAGCAAGGCACAGGCGTTCATGCTCCGCCGTGCAACTACAGATACAAAAACGGATCTAAGACGGCAACTACATCGCCACATTCTGAAGGGGCGCTCAGTGGGGCTTCTGGAACTTCAGCGGTAGGCGGTGGGGGGCTGCTCGCTGCAAGAAGCAGCATGTACGCGTTAGCATTGGCGAGTGAGATAGCGTCACAAGGCAGTGACGTAGGAAGAGTGCCAGCTCATACTTGCTTGTCCTTGTGCCGGAGGCGCGCCAACTTGTGCATGGGTGTAAGTAGTGGGCGGGTCTGTCTGAGCGCACGCCGTATGTAGCCTTCCTTGATCAGCTGCTGAACCAGGTAGCAGCTCATGTTGGATGCGCGCTGAAGCAGACGCTGGTTTTCGCGCTCATTGACAGGAACTGCAGCGATTCTCTCGCACAGCTCAGCTCGAACCACCTTCTTCCTACCACATGCGCTCTTCCTTGACTTGACCACGGCTGCTACTCGATCTCCCATCGAATTGATTCCACGCCTCCAAATTCGCTCGACAACTTGGCGGCCCACACGGAAGTACGCTGCAACCCGAACGATCTCTCCATGTTTGAGCACTCCTCCCACGCTGCGAAGCAGTAAGGTCTCCCAGACGGCCTGGCGCTCACGTGATCTCCCCCAGGTGCCAGCTATGAAAGCTGGGAGCGGGAGCCAGTCTGGTCGGGAAAGCGCGGGAGATTCGAAATCCAAAAAGTGATCGGCATAGAGGGGGTATTGTTTTGGGTAGGCTGTAATATAATTTGAAATGGTTATCTTTTTCAGAACGGAGGTAGTATGACGATTAGTTCTGTTGTGGTCATGATAAGATCCAAGGTTGGTTCAGGGTGAGTTTAGAAAAAAAAGGTTCATCGCAGAAAATAAAAGAAATATCGCGCTGGGAAGTCCTGACTTACAAGTTTGTGCGAGTTCGCTGCGCCGCTTTGCGGTGCAGCGAGCTCGTTTTTATATTTATAAATAACCAGTATAGATAATATCTATACTGGCAGATATTATCTGCGCTCTCAAATTGATAACGCAGTCTTTTATATCACTCATTTACCTCATTTGCGTTCTCCCTGCGTTGCTCAAGTAAAAAAATGGCGAAAGAAACGTGTACGTACGACTGTAGTTTTGCTCAGCCAGATTGAGATTGGAGCGCACCCTCTGTCGGTGTTCTTCCGTCATCAGTCGTGCTATCTCCGCTGTCGATAGTATCGCTGTTGTTGCAGCCTTTTCTCAAGTTTCTAGCTGCTTCCTTGCGCAGCTTTATCCCCAAGATGCTCCCCATCACCTTAAGATGTTTCTCCTGGAGCGCGATCATACGTTCGAAGGCATTGCCCTGCTGCACCCGCAAGTCAGTCATCACTGAGGTGAGCCCAGCAAGCACTTCCCTCGTATGCGACGCCTCCTTCTGGTACAAACTTGCAAGGTGGTTCGACGTGATATTCGTTAGTCTTTCGATCGCGTTGATGAGCGATGCGTCGTGGACTATCACGGCCGGCTTGAAGGCGTCCTCGCTGGATCCAGAGTCATCTGGGGTCGTGGAATCCGCTTCTGTCTCCTTGCTTTCCTGTTGATTTCTCCTCACTGCATGGTGTGTCTTGCGGCATGGCGTTGAATTACTAGGGCCCGGGCTTCCGGTAGTAGTACCGGAGGAAGTATACACATCGCGCAGCGTACCCCAATACTCTTTGTAGCCAGCACTGCGGCGGTCGAAGACGTCCGTTTGACGCATGTTCAAGGCGTCTCCGTGGCGCATGTTACTGGCATGGTACTCAGCGTTGAGTGACCGCAGCTTCTTGGCCACCCCCTCGGTGTTGTTACCACCTAAGTCTCCGGTTTCTGTCTGCACCAGTGTGTTCGCTGCGTGTAGTTCCCCGCTCGTGTACGATGCCGGTTCATGTTGCCGTTTTCGAGGTGCTGCGCTCAGAGCGCGACTCACATCGTCGTGCATGTGACGCCAACGCGCCGAACTGTCCGCTTGCTGCTCCATTGCCACACTTTGCTCTTTGGGCACCGACTTCTTTGCTAGGGTTGCAGTGCCCGGATCCATGGAGGAGTGTCGCTCATACGTGTGCGCAGCAGCATGTCTCGCCACCCCAGACTCGGCTACAAGCTGTCTTGAGGAGCCAGGCGGTCCTGTTCGGAACGGACGCCGTCTCTGCATCGGGGTACCCATCGGCATTGTCGTCGCAGGGCGCTTGCCACTGTCCATCATTGCGCCGTGGTGTACGCCGTTCGCACCAGACGCGGTCTCTGCCGCTGTGGTTACCGGCGACGCACTGGCAGGTCGCTTGACTGCACTGTCGTGAGCACCGACTTGTCCTGCGTCTTTTGTCTTGTCAATATCCTGTTGCTGTTGTTGTTGTTGTTGTCGCTGCTGTACGGGCTCCTGGTCCTCCTGCGGACGATGTTGCTGTAGAGCCTGAGTGCCACAGTGCGACTGTAATGAGGCTAGAGGAGTTGACTGTTGATGCGAAGGAGAGGCCAGAGCCTGCTGGTCCTGCCCTTGCAACTGATGAGGTGGCGCCGGCGTCCGCGTGTGTACCTGAGTCGCCAACGCAGGCAACGATTGGCTTTGCTGCTGTGGCTGGAACTGCGACTGGCTTGGTTCATTCTGTTGCTGTTTCTTTCTGGGCTGCTGCTGTGCCAGTCCTAGCTGCTGCTTCGGTTCTTGTGTGGCTGTTGCTTCCTGCTTTTGAGCCTGCGCTTTGGCCTGTTGCAGTCGCTCTTGATGCTTCTGTAGACGATGTGAATTGGTTCGTTCCTTGTGCACGTCCCACGCGCGCGTGCGGAAGTTTGAGTTCATGATCACAGGCTTGGGCTTCTTGCCGCCGTGCACGGCGTAGTGTACATGGCAGATCTTGCACAGCACGAAGCGACCCTCGTCGTCCACACTGAGCACGTCCGGGTCCGAGAGGATGCTGGGCGGCCACCAATTGGCCTTGCGCTTGGGCATGGCGGGGTGCGAAACTCGCTTCAATATGCAAAGCAAGTGAGTTCCTTGTGTGCCCGCTGTTCGGTCGTTCAACGCGTTCTACACGCTTCGATCGTGTTCCTTGTGGCGAGCTGTTTCCTATAGTGACAGAGGGAGTGATAGTTCCGTTATGTGTTATGTTCTACCAAAGCACGGGTAGCGAACGCCCATACTGTCGCTGCCCGACACCGCAAGACGAATCGGAGGAGAGGCGTCTTCTCTCGTCATAGTCGATGCCAGCGGGAAAGGGGGGAGGGCGTCAAGTATTCAACGTACTTTGCTGCTTGTCGGGCTTCCTGAGCTTGCAGGTTTGTTTGGATGCGCTTGACTGGTCTTCTTCACCAGGACCTGTTTGTTCCGTTGTGTGCGTCTTTCGTTGTGATACTACCCTCGTTTCTGTACTGATGCCTGTCGAAGCGAATATTCTTCACAATATAGGTTTAAATAGGCAGACAAGAATAGAAAGAGCATGAATCCTCTGATAGATCATCAAATTGGTTTGCGAAAATTTACACTTAGACAGATATTAAATCTGCAGATACTGTATCGGCTTCTGACATTAATTTTTGAAACCACCGAAACCAGCTGGTGGACATCGGTCGGTCGGTCTGGACGGTCGGAACATATGGCCGTTTGTATGCCACGATCTTCAAGAGCTTGTGGGTTATTGTCAATTCCGCCCCAATTTGCCGAAGCGCGAAGCGAACGGCAAATCGACGCTGCCTTGTTAGAGGTCAAAACTAAGAAAACATTTTTTATTATCCAATAAGATACCAGATACACGTTGAAGTTAAAGTGACAGCGCATCTCGCACTGAAGACTCCGCGCACTTGTCATGAATGAAGATGGCAAGTCAGAGGATTATTCTGTATTAGCGCCAAAACGCATTCTGTATGATAGGCTACACGATTGGGTGCTCGATTGGGGCCCGCGGAAATTTCGAATAGAACGCACAATATTACACAGTACAGTAAGAGAGTGCTAGTATTTATAATACTGGTGCTGAAAACTCGGACTCGCCTACCCGGTACGCAGCTCGCTTGGCAGTGTGTACAAACTACATGTAATTGTTTGCCCGTGCACACGAGTGAAAAAGGCCAACCAGGTCTGCATATGCCCGACAGTAAATGTGTGAGTCACAAGCAATTCAACGACAGCTGATATCTATAGCCCACGAAACGTTTCTTTTTTTTCTGACTCATCTACTGCAATGCAGTGTCACCTTCTGCGGTGTCGATGTCTTTTTCGCTCGTAGCTCCGACTTCGGCTCCGACTCCGACCTGAGCTCACCGATCGTCGTCTGTGGTGACTACTGCGACGCTCGCGATAACGGTCACGACTACGACGGCGATTTCGACTCCTGGACCGGCTTCGCTCTCTCCGCCGCTCTTGATCCTCGCGCCCATGCTCTTCTTGTCTCCGACTTCGAGGTCGATCTCCACGTCCCCTCTTCGCTTCTTTCTCCTGCTTCTCTTCCTCCTTTTTCTTCTCGTTCTCCATCTCCATCAGTTCCTTCAGCTTCCGTCGAATCTGCACATATCCGACGTGCACTTTGCCCCCAAAATGGTCCGCCAAGCGTCTTTCACTGTCAAAAATGCTTAAGAAGGCGCCACACACGTCGCACACGCGCAGCTTCTGATTAACGTTGTCCACCCCATTTGTGGCTCCAGCAGTGCTCTGTGTGAGCAGCTCACGTCGCTTCCGCTTGAGAATCTCCACCTTCTCCATGATACTCAGTGATCCGTCCGCATCTCCTTCCTTGGCCGCTTTTTCGGCCTGTACCGCGGCGTCTTGCATGTCCTGCGTGAGCTGCAAGATCTGCATCCGGTTCTGATTGTCCTCTCCATCCTCGTCCAAACGCCGCTGTGCACGCGCAATCTTTTTTTCCACGTCGGCCAGCAGCTTCGACAGTTCGTTGATCAGCTCGCGCTCGTAACCAAAGTCTCGAGTCGATTTCTGCTCCACGTAGGCCGAGCGCAGCGTCGGAAGGTGTAGCGACTTGCAGGTGCCCAAGTCCAGGCGCGTGTTCTGGAACAAGTCGCGCGGACACAGGCCGCACAAGTAGGGTTTACAGACCTTAGGGTGGCGGAAGTCCATACTGGCGTCGTCATCTGGACGGTCGCCGTCGCGGTTCAAGCCCATGAGGCTGTCGAGCAGCGCGCGTTGGGCGTCCATTGGCGGCCCTACAGTAGATTGTGAAGGCAATAGTGACGTCTAAAACCCGCGATATAGTGACAAAAGTGAGCCTTGTTCAAGTTATGATGCTAGAAGTCTGCGGGTTTCTCCCAGGACGACACACCGGTCTGTTTGTTGAAGTAGAAGGGCTTGCCAGCACCTTCGTCCCATTGCTCTATCCACGGGTTGGGCTGCAGACCTTCAGAATTCGTCTTCTTCTTCTTCTTACCAGTCAGGCGGGTCTCTTGGCGCTCGACCTCGTCCGATTCGACCTGCTGTTGGTTGGCGAGTTGCTCTTCTAGAATACTCTCTTCATCTCGCATGACGTTGTCTACGATAGCTGCACCGGCTGCAATCTTATCAGCGAGTTCGTGCGTCTTGGCCATGATCTTCGCGCCAGCAGCAGACTCTGTCACGGTCTGCTTCATCTTCTCAGCAATCCTCTCGACCAGGGTTCCGTGGGGTACTGCAACCATTGTGCCATTACCAGTCTTCCAAGCTGCAGGCCAGATCTGCTGGAGCTCCACGGGATAGTTACTCTGCACGTGCACGCGGAACGGACCCTCCATGCTGCTCACGTACGCAGCCACCAACAACGTGTACGTACGAGCAGCCAGCTCGGCTTGTATTCGAACTTCACGCCTGCGAGCCGGGACACCGCTATGTGCTGTGACGTTGTCCTGATTAAGAGCGGTTACACGTCGCGCTCGATCTTTCTGGTCTCGATGAGCTACAATGTACACAGCGATCGGCAGCACAGTCACCGGTGCCATGCCATGTGAGTCGACCTGCGTGACTGTCACGATAACCTCGGTTGGACGCGAAACGCGCAGCGAAAAGTGCGGGTTGTTGTCTAGTCCCGTGCACCCAGGGTTATGCCGTGTAGGCAGGCCACTGGAGGTAGCGTCTTCGCGCGAGAAGCGTGCATCCAACGTATTGACGGCCCACTTGTCGGGATCATAATAGCGGCACACGTAGAGCGCTCGGAAGGCGTGGCAGAAGTCGTCAAAGCTCATCCAGAAGGTGTTATCGTCTCCAGCGTCGTCGCCCTTCCGCACACCCAGACGCTTGCGCAGACGACGAGTCCAAAGACGCGAACTATCGCTCCAGTCGCCTTTCCATTCCTGGTGATCGCCTGGCGGATTTCGCAGTTGCAAGAGTTGCGCGCCATCCACATCGCGCACGTCATAGATCACGTAGCAGGCATCAAACACCAAGCCGGATGCACGTAGTGCTGGGTCTGCGTGCTCACTTGGTAGTGAGGCTGCACCCAACAGGAACCGGTTCTTGCGAAACAACTTCAACTGCTGCCACAGCGTTTTCTTCAATGCACCTCGTGCTGCCGGTGCCAAGTATACTTCATCGCACTCGCAGCCAGATAGAACGCGAAGTGCATGGTGCACATAGCCACCTTCCAATGCTGCATATCCACCGCAGTATTTCGCGAACGCTTTCTCCACCAGCGGCACCCACAGCTCCTCGAAGTCGCGACTGTGCGCGAATGCAGCGCCAGCACTAACCGAGAGCTCTGCGTCACCCCCTGCGTCCAAGCCAGCCGAGTCGTATAACACTGGGAAATAGTCGTCAACAATGACAGTCTCCCATTGGCAGTTCTGGTAGAGGCGCAGGGCATACGCTCCTGTGAGTGAAGTCTGCTTGGTCACGAACAACCGATCGATAAGCTCGTCTACTTTGCCATCATCCACGCCACCTGACGCTGCCATAATACTCAGTGCACTCAGCAACCAGGCATCATCCAGACGACCAACACGAACATCGTCGGGGTCTGTGCCTCCGTCAAACAGTCCTGACGCAATGTTGATAGCCGACGAGACTTTCCATTGTGGTGCAATCTCCGTTTCATGTGAACATCCAGCGAGCGAGGTTGTGTCTGGAGGAAACTCTCGATCCACGAACTGTAGAGATCGACCAAACTCGCCTGGAACGCACGAGTATCCCGACTCGATCTCCAGCAGCGCTTCTCTCGCATTCACGAGTCCCTCATCGTATCCGTGGTTGCTTTCTTCTTCCTCGGTTAAGATGCCTTCGCTTTCACGACGTAGTCGACGAGCCAGGAACTCTTGCATCCGTTGACGACATTGCTCAGCTTCACGTGGCGCCCAGTGCTCTCGTAGCTCTTTTTGAGCGACAAGAGCAGCACGATCCTCGGCATCGACGATGGTGTCTGTGCGCTCCATTTCCTGGTTGAATGCTGCCTTGAGTGCATGGAATCTGGCGCGAGATTCTGGAGTGAGCGAGAGTAGCCACACAGCTACCAACGGGATATCAATCGACGCAAAGGAACTCGTACGGAAGACGTTCGCTGGAGGACTGATACCGTTCGACATGAGCTTGAAGCGATTTTCCCGTAAAAACTTCTGGAACAGAATCTTCTCTCGACTCAATCGAGCGTCAGACGCTGTTAACATCAGCAGCTGCAGGTGGATCACACATCGAGTTTCTTCGTAGAAGGCACGGTCTAACGCTGCATCTAACTCAGGTAACTGCAGTAATAACTCCACAAGATCACGTGGTGGAGCTGCTGGTGTTCTATCAATCCGATTGGTAACTCTAAGCGCGCTGTCGCCACGTTCGAGGATGTCGGCTTGGTCATCGGTTTGGGTGTCACCTGCGGTCTTCCTTCTCCACTTGAGCGTTGACGGGATGTATTTCCACCGTAAGAATCGGAATACTCGTGGAGGAACAGTGAACGCATACAAGAAGCCAAAAGGACCAGCACCACGCTGGAAAATATCCTCCTTGACTTCTCTCCAAGACAAAAGTCCATCAGGTCGAGGCACGTCGAGGCCGTGAGTAGTTGTGATGCATCGACATTGGCGATCTACATCCTCGATACTAAGAGCGATGTCCCCGCATGTGAGTCTGGGCACGACTTTCACAACTTCTTCTTCGATCTTGATCTCCACTGCTTTCGTTCCTTTCTTCCGACTTGCAAACGCTGAGGCAGCACCGCCACCATACGCAATGGCTTGGAATTCGAGCTCAGCTTTCTTTTCTCGACGCTCTTGCTCCACGAACTCAGGAGACTCGAGAGTAAAAGGCTGACTACGATGGTTCGCAACAGCTTGGGCCGCTTCACTGGCGTCTTTGAGGATCATTTCGTTCACGTATTTTGCTGCGATGCCCATCTGTACAGGTGTGACGGCACACAAATGTGCAGTGACGCCAGCAAAAGCTAGCAGCACGAGACTACACAAGCCGACCCCAAAGCCGAGAGGATCGAAGAACATGACACCAGCTACGCCCCACAAGAAAACCAGCAGGAAGACCATGTAGAGCGGAAGCACATTGTGCGTCTCGTCCACGACGTTGTTGGTGAAGGCATTGTACGAGAAGACAGGGAATAGATAAGGAGAGTAGAAGACCGACTCGTCAGCTGTACTCTTTGCCACAATCCAGCCAGCAACAAACTGAAGTGAATATTTGAGCAGAAGCACCACGAAGACGATCGAGAGACACGAGAAGAAACTCATTCCTATCGCCAGAGCCGCGATGATAGCAGCAACGGTGGCACTAAGCACGATGAGGCTGGCTTGTCGTTGGTACACGGGGGCGAGATATCGGTCGTTCTCGACCCATTTCACCACGTAGTACGTGATGAACAGGAACAAGGCTAGTAGAAAAGTCAAGGCGCCACCAAGAGCCACACTCACAAAGACATACATTTCCAAGATCCAGAGCACAATGGCGAGCAAGCAGGCCCCACCAATACGTCGAATTGGCCGGGTAATGATCCAGTTTTCGTCTTGCCAGCGGCCTAGCGTGACTGCAAACAACAAGAAGATTGGGTAGAAGACCAGAATCGAGAGAATAACGAGAGATTCCACCTGGTTCACATCAGCTTTCAACACAGCGAAGAATAACACAAAGCCGGTACTCCAAGCAAGTCCAGCACTCCCACCGAAGCAGTATTTCATGTCAGGAGTGAATGTAGCCGTCTTGAAGAACTTGATCGTTGGAGATAGTGTGAATATCAACACATAGGCTCCCGTCCAGATCACTTGTCCTAGCCAAGACGGATTCTCTGTCGCTGTGAGGATCATGCCGTAAAGCATGATCAGGAACAACAACGCCAAAAAGCAGCCGATAGTCATGTGGTCTTGTGGCAGTAGAAAGCCTTGCTGATAAGCCTGGTACAGCGTCATCTTTGCAAAATCGACATCGCCATCACCGCCTAATGCCACCGTTTTCCGACGAGCCAAGACAGCGTTATTCGCGGCATTCTCATTAAGTAGAGGGCTTGTAACTTCCTCGTCGTCATCGTTCTGTGTAGCATTAGCAACACCATTTCGATTGAGTAGAGGCTTGCCCGTTGGAGAGTGACTATCAGCTTCTCGATACTTTTTCGACCACGTTTTACGCGAGAAGAAGGCACGACATCCAATTTTCCCAGTCATGAGATCTCTCAGTCTAGCACAACGGGACGTCTTTGCGGGTTTAATGGAAAGAGTCGTTGGTAAGCTTGTCTGTAAATTGTTTGCTCCTGTCTCAGTAAGCGCAGGAGCCGATGTTTTTAAAGCGAAAGTCTTCTCAGTTGGCTTGCTCTTTCCAGGTAGCACCAAGCCTAGTTTTTTCGTTGGACTCACGACGCCTGCAGCTTTACCGCCAACAAGCCCCAGCAAGCTTTTTGATGGCAAATTGGGCATCTTAAACGTCTCATCGGCATTATCGAAGACGTGGTTGTTCCCTTTGCCTTTCAGAGGAGGCAAGACAAAGTTTTCGCGCATGAGTTCAGCTTCCTTCTCCAGTGCTGCTTCTGCGTCCAAAAACCCGCCGTCATCGTCGTCATCTAGCACGTCTTCTTCCTCGTCCTCGGGGGGCCAAACCACGAGTCGATAGTCGTTCTTTTTCCACTGCACATGCACAGCGAGTGACAACATGAGAATGAGTGGCGCAAAGAATGACGAGACGAGGATGAACGTTGACTGTGTCGACGCATAGACGAATAAACCTGAGCAGATAACGAGCACTTCTGAAGCTGCAGCCAGCATAAATGGCAGTCGCAATGGTTGAACGAACAGGTACACGTGCATAGCGTAGTCAGACAGAAGCTGCTCCTTCTGAAGGAAAAATGCTCTCGAAGTAGCAAGCGAGAGACCCACGAAGAGAACAACTATGAACGCCAGCACGCCAAAGATCCACAACGGCCACTCCTGTCCTAAGACAGGGACGTGGACGGTCTGGTTTGCGTCGGAACCAAAGGCGACGCCAAGCAACAAAAAGAGATAGAAGAAAGACAAGAACCCGAGCACAAACTCTGGTGTCGTACCTACATCCAATTGTTGCTGACGTTCCTTTTGCGGATCGTGGCCGAAGAACGTGACACCTCCAGCCTCTTGTTTGTTCATGCGAGGCAGGTTTCTACCGATAATTTCACGACAAAGAGCAGTGCCGAACACCATGTACAGGAAGGCGTGGCCTAGGATCCAGTACCTGCCGCATGTGACTGCAAGACACACCCGCACAGCGCTCAGAAGAAACACCACGTAGCCTGCAGACCAGTTGTTGGCGCTCTTGCCTCTGTGTAACATGTACACGCACAGATCCACCAGTACGAGTGTTATGGAGATTCCGACCGCTTGGGTACCGTACTCTGTCCACGCACTCGCCACAATGCAGTACACCACGAGTGTGGCCAGCGCAGACCAGTAACATCGACGATTCATGCGTCTTCGTGTCGAGGCAGACGTCACGAACGCACTTTTAAGGATGTCGGCGTACTCCAAGCCTGGAAGCGACTGCTCCACTGTGTAGTGATCGCCTAAGATAGCAGCGAAAGGTGATTCTTTCCGCTCCCGCTTGGTCTTTGGCTCTTCGTGCTCTACTGCTTGGTGGTCACTTTTTGCATTGGCGAGTTTTAATCCAAGAGTGCCGAGGTTTTTGAACTTGCTTTTGAGTGTAGTGACTTTCTTAGAGGCACCCACGACAGCGATGACTTGTTTAAGAGACTTGGAGAGCTTCGAATCGTTAGTGAAGGCGAGCCAGACGATCGGCATCATGTTGAGAGTGAGGAAAATGGACGAGAGCGAGAAGAAGTCTAAGTCTTCGCCTCCGACGTACACTTTCGGATCTGCAAACGTAGCTGAGAAGAGAAACACAAACGCGCCGAGGAATGCCACAGCGAAGAGATACAACGTTCGGGCCGTCATTCGCCAGCCCGTACGTATCCACACAGAGGCAGCGTAGATTCCTCCTAAAGCTCCAATGCCTAGAAAAACAATTCCAAAGCCGAATGCTGGCGGTGTCACGAGTACAATAGACGTTACTCCCCATGACAACAGCATCAATACGGGCGAGAAGATCACAATCTTCACAGCCCAGGTCGCGTAGTACAAATTACGTCGAAATTGTGCATTGTTGTCGCCATCTCCGTAGCAAAAGAAAAGTTGAGCCACAATGTCAGGTTTCTTCGCTTTGGTCTTCTTCACCGAAGACGGACTCGCTCCTTTCGTTGCATTATCCTTCTCCTTCACTTTCGGTTGCGTACCTACCACTGCCGACAACTGACCATTGGCCACTTTCTCAGCCAGGAATGACTGTACACGCTCAATTCGCCAGTGCATACGTCGCAGATATCGCACCACGAGAATCATCAGAAACGCGAAGGTCGGTCCATATTGGACAGTTATCTCGAGGAATATCCCTCGCGAGAACTCCTTCGAGTAGACGGCAGGTACGACGTCAAAGGACTCGTGCGGGACAGCCACAATAAAGTACATACTCAGCGTCGTGTCCGTGTAATTGAGAGCCACATTGGCCCCCGTGATAACTCCTCGGCCTTCAGCGTCTCCATATTTGTTGACAGAATGTGGAGTGAAATTCTGCGCTACAGCCTTAAAGTCACCGGCGACGTCCATCAGTTGAGCGTACTCACGCGTCTCGATCCAGCCGAACGTTTTGTTGAGCCAGTCCGGCGATGAAGCTGCGTCGTCCACGCGCCGAAACACGAAGAGTTGAGCTGCAAAGTTAAACGTTACGCGTGCGTATGGGGCGTAGCCGTACGTACTGATCAACGACGTGTTGCCTTTATGGTTGTTAGAAGTACTCAATGAACGGATTAGTAGGCCGCCTTGCGAGTCCGCCATTCGGTAATAACTCAATAACCGTGTATCCGAGCTCGAATAGACTCTACCGTAGAACCACGACTGCTCATCAGGAAAGAAGCCACCCATTCCTCCATTGATCAAGGCGCCTGGCACGAACACTTCCTCTGTTCGCATCTGGAACGGGATGGCCGTCATGCGGATACGCATACACGGTGCTGACGACTTGGCATCGGTACAGTCTCCACTTTCACTCAAAGGGACCCAGAGCTCTTCCACACACATCGGTTGCTCGGCTAGTGCCCACGTCGACGTATCATTCGACGGCAACTTTTGCTTTATCGCGGAGAAAGCTGAGCAGTAAATAGCATTGAGCGTAACTTGAGCGACGAGATCGTCGCCGAACTCAAGGCCGCTGTCTTTATCCCAAACGCGAACAACAATCTCCGTCCCGGCAGGTCGAAATCCGAAATTCAGGTCCCGTACGACGTCGCCATCCCCGGTGCAACCAGGCTCAGCACAAGGCAGCCAGATGGGGTTGAGAGAGTTCCATACGACACCCGAGGTGCGGAGATTGTCTCCGATAAGAGCTTCAACGTAGGCGTCCGTCTCGAGACCCGCTAGTCCGAAGCTGTCGAGATCAGGCAAGTTACGCATTTCCACGATAGTTAAGGTGAGGTTGCCTCCAGCAGAAGCATATTGACCGTCGTCTGGGCAATTGCGGGCACCTCCGGTGCACGAGAACGCTGTCAAGCTCCGAGATGTCGAGTAGCGTGGATCTGGATAGCCTAACGAATCTGTAGTCTGGGCTGCCATCCTCAGTAAGTTTTGGAGCAGCAGCAAGATGCTGAACACGCTCCACGTCACAGCATTTTGCAGATTACTCCACGTCATTTGATTCTTCGCCAGCAGAAGGCAGGCATGGATGCAAAAATGCTCAGTAGTGAGAGGGTCGCGGCCCGTTTCGGACACCAAATATTCTTCTCTTCGTAACGGAACTCAATATCATTGCCAAATCACCACGACGAATGAGTACCTTCTTCATGCCCTGGCAACTCAGTTCTTTTAGTAATACATTAATATGCTTCTTTCGCATTTAGATAATTAGCTGGCTACGGCAGATCTGCCAGTGGTTTCTTGGCTAGCACAAAGTTAAACGTCACCGGCAGCATTTCCGACCTGGTAAACGCGGGGGCCCACTCGCGTCCGAAGTGCGTTCCTGGTTCCACTAGTGCTGCTTGCACCTCCATTTCCCAGGGAAGTTCGCTAAACACGCCCTCGTAAACATCATCCTCTGCGTGTTTGAATAGCTGTTCACCCAGCTCCTTCCGATATAGATCGTTCACGTCCTTGAATAGAGATAGGCCGTCGTCCACCAGCAATCCACGGCCAGCCATGTCGCCCCATACTTCACTTCCCGGAGCCGACAGAACATCGATGGTCTTTAGCAGCGCGAGATTGCTGGCCTGGTTTAGGTACACCATGATCCCTTCTAACACCCAGAACGTCGGGAGATCCGGATTGAAGCCGCTCGATAGCAGACCCTCTTCCCAGTTGAAGGCGTTGAGGTCCGCGACGACGTAATCGTGACGATCCACAAGAAGCTTGGGGCCCAGGTCCTTGAGTATTGCTCGCTTGTGTTCAAACAGCTCGGCGCTCTGATCGAGCTCGAGTACGTGGCACCCGTGCAAGGATTCCAGACGGAACACGCGCGTATCGAGACCGGCACCAAGAAAGACCACCTGACGGATATTGGGATTTCTCTGCGCGATGGCGTCGTCCAAGTATCGACCACGCACGGCGATGTAGTTTTCTGGGTAGGGCTGCTTCTCTTGCCACTTTTTAAGGCGCGGCGTCAACTGCGGCGCGACCTCGCGCGTCAGTGGCTCAGCGAATGGATCGTGGATCAAGCGGTCTTCACGGGCGTCTTCAATGGCACGCAGACACGCGTCCACGAAGCTAGTGAATTGAGCAAAGTCCTCACTCTGCATTTTGCTGGAAGTAGGAGAGGAAGGAGGAGCGTCGATGGGTTCTAAAACGAAAGTAGGGGTGTTGGCACTGCGCTCCATTGGGATGGCTATGCGCAGTCGAAGGCAAGACGAGAAATGAGTGACAACTGAGGCGATGCGCCCGAGCCGAGAGACCAGGCTGCATCGGATAAACTGGACATCACTGACGCCGCATCACTGCGGCATCAGTCGATGAGCGGGATCACGTTGAGGCTGTCCACCCGTCTCTAGCGCTGAGTGGAGGGACAGCGGAGGTGGCGCCACTGGGCAAGCAGCCGGCGCCTCGCACGCCATGCTCCCGGCGGGGGGAGAAACGCCGCGAGGGGCGTTGTGGCGGCAGCTGTCGAATGCCCTATAAGGTTGGAGCTTGCATTTTGCAGGCTGCAACTTGCAGCTCGATGTACATGTATGCACGCTTGTCAAGCAGCTTGGTGCATTCCCCCGCGTGGCAAAGGATCGCTTCCAGCGTCATGGACGGATCTTTGTTGAGCTGGCCACGGGAGCAGCTGGTCATCGTGGCGACAGAGTGGCGTGGCATGGCGCCTGGGCCAGGCCCAGGCGCCATGTTCGACTCGAACAGCGCGGCTGCAGCTGCCACCTTCTAGCCGAAATTCAGAATCCGAATGACGAAGCTCGCCGGCACCAAGCCAATGCTATCCGTGTCTTGATCCTGAAGTCGTGGATACTGCATCGCAGTCGACCTGTACAGTGCATGTACTTAGGTGCTGTGACGGTCATAGTCACTGTGACAATGTGACCACAGTGAAAGAGTGCTTACCACTGGTCGACGCACTACATGTACATGCATTACTATTGATATTAAGAGTACATGAGCAGGCCTCTCAAAACTAGGCAGTACTACCTAAAAACCTAGCAGATGCTCAACTAGGATTTTTCGTGCCTTATTTACTATACGAACTAGGGTGGTATTTAATGTTGATGATAGTATGGGATAGATGGTGAAATGTATGAAAAGCCTAGAATCTTCGAAGTTCACTTTGTGATGAGAGTTTCTGCTGCAATGGAGTTCGCGAGGGGAATTAGATCGAAGTATTGCTTTGCCTGCAACTGACCTTCAAGTGCATAGTTGGTCAGCGATCCTCGGTGGGCAGTTTTGACACCTTTAAGTGAGCTGAAATCACCTTCCACGGTATGGGTACCGGGTGGAATCGAAGCCAGCCCCAGCGCAAACGAAACTAAACGTGAATACTCACCAGAACCGTTCACAATACGCCATGCTTCGACTACACCTTTGGTGTAAGACCTGTCGACATAAGCCTTGAAGTCCGGGTTGAGCTCGTACGTTTCACGCAACTTACGGACCTGCTTCCAAATGCAGCTGATCACCCCACTTCCGTATTGGACTCTCAGTCTTTTCTTGTAAGGCAAAATCAGCTGACCAAACTTGGTCATATCTTTCATTGCAACAAGGTCCTTAGGAAGCGTCAAAAGAGTAGCTGACACAGCCCCTTTCACCTCAATCCTGATCTGATTAACACCAGTAATAAACCCGCCAATCGCACTTGAAAGTCCATTTACTAGCCGTCGTCGCTCGATATCGTCAATCTTCTCGTCATACAATGGAAGTGAGAAAAATGAGGCGGTTCGGATGTGAGCGGAAATCTTCTCAAAACAGAGCGAAGGCTCATCGCCTTCTAGTTGCTCCTCGAACTTCATTTGAAAGTACCTTACAAGATTCTCCAACGCTTCGTACTGGTCCTTCATCGTGACGGTCCTGTACTGCATTGATCTAAAGCATTGCTTGACTTTGTCCACCAGCTCCTCAATTGCGAAAAGAATCAACCACCACGAGAAAGTTGGTGCTTTTACATCTTTAATATCGTGTAACTGCATGATTTCCTCGTAGTTACTTGATAGAAACTCACAGCATTCCGAAATTGATTCCCAACGAGTGTTAGCGTAAGTGGGGCATCTACCAATAACAGTCTTTACACTTTCATACTTTCTCGTGAAGGTGATCTCCTGCCCAAGGATATGGCGGAAATCAACGAGATCTATGAGAGATTCGATGAAAGCCCCAACCACCAAGTTCAGTTGGTGACTACCACACCAGTTAACACTAAGACCACCCTCACCTAGCGCTTCGCATGCATGTTCGATAAGTTTTGCAAACCCGCCATGACATCCTAGCATCGTAGCGGCTCCGTCGCTTGCCACACCGATCAATTTTCGGATTAGTTTGTCTCCTCCAAGGTTATTCAGGACAAAGAGCACTCGCTTTGCGTAGTTTGCAGCTTTGTGAGAAAGTGTCCCCATAGGAATTGCAAGTAAGTGTTGGTTAAAAATGCTCCCGTTCAATTCAAAGGCTACACGGACGTCGAAATAACCCTCAGATCCATGGGTACCTCCGTCAACTAGCAGAGAAACCCCCCACACCTTGGAAAAAATAATCTCTAGGGCAGCCAGGTTAATAGATACGATGGAGCGAATATATCGACCAACTTCATGTTGAGATGGGTGGCCAAGCCTGTAGTTTTGAAGGGTGTCGCCAATAATCCGAAACAAATTCGTAATTGAGCGAAAGCTGACCATTTCATTCGAGAACTTAATAACAGCCTCAAACTGGAGACGATCAGAAATAACTAGTAGGTGCTTGCAATTCGTGTCTTCAAAGAATTCATCAAACTCCGCCCCATCTACAAGGTCGGATTGCCCAACTTCTTCAGATGCGAGTGTAATCTCTCTGTCCTCACCTTCGTCATTGAAGTATAGCTCGCGAATTAAGTCCACTACACCTTTTGGGATCTCGATATGACAACTGTAAGTCCCGCCAAGAAATACATCCATACCTGCTGGACGATCGAAAAAGGTTAGTCGAACGCGACTTCCTTTGGGAAGAGAGATAAACTCATCGTATTTAGTCTTGTGCTGATCTTTCATGTGACTGACGATGTTATCTCTGCGAAAAGACCGGAAAACCTTTTTAGTTGCAGGCTTCTTACGTGTTGCCTTCGCTAGCAGGACATCAAAAGGCCCGGTCGAAGAAGCTGGCTTCTCTTCCCTTCCAAAGGCTGTACAAAATTTGCATTGTGCTTCTAAAACTTCGCCACTAATAGTGGGTACTGGCTGGAGCCCAAGTTCGGTCTCGTACGACGTAAGATATCGCTGACGTGGCTCTGACTGCGGTAATTTGGCTTGTTTAAGCTTCAGCGGACGAGGCTTGAGTAGTGGAGTACGAGCTTTCCCTTTCTTCTTCTGTGGAGCCATAGCGGAAATCGTGAAATGAGAGAAGAAGGGAACAATGAACAGGCGCTGGGCGGTTGTGAAACCACTTAAATGAGAGAATTATAGAACAATGACAACACCCAGAGCTGTTTAAAGAGCTTTGGGGCTTCACGCAGGCGGTGGTTAGCTTTTACACTTGTGGTTTGTATGGAACTTTCCGGTTTCAACTAGGCGGCTGTCAAAACTTCGTTTAGGTAGTCAGTATTTTCTCGCAACACAAAGCCTAGTTTTAAGAGGCCTGTACATGAGGCAGCGTGCTCTCGATGCGCTATTAGCGAAACGAACGCATGACAATCGTTGAACGTCATCTGAGTGTGTGGACTCATCGACTTTGACTTTATCAATGCAGCGCTGCATCATCATGGCATCACCATCTCGCCTCTGACCTGTCTGTCTGGACAGCTTAGCGGAGCTCTGCGCACCAACCGTTTCATATAGACACTTGTTAAACTGGGTCCCAGTCCTCCCAGTTACTGGGCTGGCTGCCTGACCAATTTTATTAGGCACTCGTTGCTGCACCCACCTCGTGCACATGGGACGGGACAAGACAGAATTACGACACCCACCCGTACCCAGTTGTGACCGTCAGACACCCATCCTGTGCCCACTACAGCACCCAAATCGAAAGAGCCGGCCTAAAACTTATACACTATACACGTATATCCGAAAGATGCCAAAGAGCCGGAGTGGATCGACATCGGCAGTACCCGAGTCCGCAGAGATAGAAGCATTCTGCTGAGCAGGTTATCCCCTTCAATTACATAAGACATTGTCAAGCATATAACTCGACAAACATAGTTCGATGCAACGAGTTCAGTGACAGTACCAGAGTCCGCAGAGATAGAAGCGTTCTGCTGAGCAGGTTATCCCCTTCAATTACTAAAGAAATTATCAAGCATATAACTCGACAAACATAGTTCGATGCAACGAGTTCAGTGACTTAGCTACTGCTACTTCCTTGTTCTTCTATACACATGCGCAAGTAGCGGTAGCGCATGCATTGCAGAGTCTTTTTGTCGAGGTGGCCGAGTGGCTCTGACCCACAGAACATCTCAAATACCAGCAAGACATACACACCGCAATTATAGCTGTCGCACTGAGCGTCAAGTCCAGGGTCGTGAGTCACCAAGCGAGCACTAGGTCTGACTCCGTCTGGCAGCATCATGGTCATCTTCTGTGCCACGGCACGGTCACCGATCATGTGGGAGGACGCCATCGAGTCGTAGACGTACACTCTGCCCTTCTCCAAATCCATTAGCACAGCGCACCAGTGGTTGTTGTTGCAGTTGATTGGAAACAGCACTTTCATCTTCTTCGTGACTCCAGCCAACGCCAGTTTAAAATACCTGATGTCTGTCGTTAAAGCTCCATTTGAAATCCCCATGTTAGACGGGTCGATCACTAGAACACTAGGATCCGCACCAAACAGTTTGTGTAGAATCATCTGCATGACTTGGGCGCTAAGGGTGTCCTTCGAAGCCAGGTCCACCAAGTTTGTATACTCGTTTGACAGAATTGGCAAATCTTTCAACAGCTTAGGTATAGTGGTGTCCTCCTCGACGTAGAAGCTTGGATTCCCGTCTTGCGAGAAGTCTAATCGATCAATCCAGGTTATAGCTCTTTTGATTTTCTTGACGAATTTTACTGCGGTGTGCCACTTTCTCATGAGCGATACCGTAGAGTTCGCGAACACTCCAACGCCAACAATCTCCACCGCCAGCTGCATTTCCAACGTTCCCGGTTTTTTTGCTTGGTAGGCTGTGACCTTGGAGGTACATTTGTTAATTAATTGGATGGGGAAGATTCGCATCACTTCTTCTGGTCGCATCAGTGGTTTT